TACCAAAACACGGTTGAGGAACAAGCAACGGTGAGGAGAATTGCAAGCACGGTTCTTGAAACTTTAATCTGTGTTGTATGCCTACTTTTTTCAATGTCAAAACTCATACCTGTTACAAAGGTACATGTGATTTATGTTTTGCTTTGTATTAATATGTTGTATTATTATGTGTAACCAAACATATATCTTGCTATTAAAAACTATTTTAGTATTTAGTAATTATATTATCATTATGCCCTCACTCTCATCACCTAGCTGTAGTGTTCACGCCGCAAACCCATTCCCCAAAATGAAGATTACCCTCCCGCTGTACCTAATTTCGGTAACTTTCCTGCCTTCCTGCCGACCCCTTGTTCCAATTTCTTGAGAATCGGGAATCTTCATTGTTCCAATCGTGCAAAGCCAAAATTTTGGTGTAACCCATGGTAGTTGGGGCCAAATTGTTGGACACCGACCTAAGCTAGGAGCTGATATTAGTGGAATGGGAAATAACAACTCAAGCGATTTCTTCAATCCTTCATCATCTTCAGAGCCTCTATTGAACGTATGTATCCTGCTACAATTTCAAGATTAAATATTTCAAGTTAGTTTAAAAAATTACATGTGTTAATTGTGCTAGCTTTTTATTTTGGACAATAATTAATATACTTTTTTATTCAACATAGTTTACAATATACTTATTAAAAAATTATTATTTTTAATTTCAATTTAAAGCAAAAAATTTTTCAAAAATTAGTTTTAATGATTGAATCAATGAGTGTTAATAAGTATATTGAATTAAAAGATATATCAATATTTTTTTTAATTTTTAAATTTTACTTTTATTTTTAAAACTTATTAGTTATTCTCCTTACTATTATAAATGAAAAAACTCTTTTAGAAGATATAGTAATTGTTGGGGTTAGATTTATGCCTGCGGCCTTTTATGACAGCATTAAGAGGAGCTGTTGAAGAAGTAGAAAAGAGAATGGTTATGGAAGTTAAATTCATCATTTTTTCTTGAAAATACATATTCGCAACTGATAAATGGAAGTCAAGTTCATAATTTTCATAAAAATGCATATTAAAGACCAACTGATATTCCACGCTAAATAAAAGTGAAGCAAAGGCGCAAATTAGCGTCTAAACGTAAATATTGTTTTGTG